GCTAAACTGCACAGAGTTTACACTATGTATGTGCACACAAGGCCCCCCTTTGTGGAAGTACAGTGGTGGCTGTGAGGGGGAAAGAAGATCAGGAGCACAAACTGTGAATACCTATTAGGTGGATGGAGCGGAAACAATGTCAGGTAATCATGTACAGCTTGAAGTGCATTGGCAAGGTAAGAGCTGTTCATCCAGACTTCTGACATCACTGCATCCAGAGCTCCTCCAATAAATCAACCTCTTTCTAATGTTCTCTCTCAGCCAAGGGGACCACAGCTTCATCTGGAGGATAGTTCATGAAGAGAGGCTGTTTAGATCGTTTGCATCAGCTGAGCTGGTGAGTGAAGCATCCCCAAGACATATAGCAAGACTTCCGTGGTTTAAGGAGAGCCAGATTAAGGAGGATTTCTCTACTCTTTAACCACATGAGATTTCTGGTATGTAGATTCCTAAGGAGGAAGAAAGGAGACAAACTGGTCCTTCAGATGGTGGTTCAGCTCCATCTGTCTTAGATGTCCACTTGAGGATGAGATCAATTCTCTCCTAAAGAACGGATCAAGAATCCTCCCTTGTCTGCTGGGAGGGCATAGATGAAATCCCTTGGTTCAGCTGGCTTCTCAGCAGAGCTACCTTGGGAGGATTCAGCTTAGAGAATTCTGCATTCAACCACTGAGGCATGGCTATCTCTGCCCAGGTTGAGATGTCTAACTTAGCCACCTAAACTGCTCGTTAGACTTCTGACTTAGTCCTCAGAGACAACTAGGCACTTCTAGAGGGCTTTTAGCCATGTATATGAGGCAAGATGAACCATGTCTCCCTTGTGCCTTTTCTCTGTTCATGGAGAAAGAAGGGAGGTAAGCTGAGAAACTGAAATAGAAGTATTTCACCATAGATCTTTCAACCTGGTCAGCAGAAGTCCTTCCTCTGACTCTGAGATGGCAAAATTACAAAGAGGTGAATCCTACCCCTAGTAGCTATGCTGAGAAGCAGATGTCAGTGGAGGTAATGGAGGTATTTGCAAAAGCTTCCTGTGCTGAGATTTAGAAGAAAGCAAATATACAGGACCACTTGTCCTTGGGTAATGACTGTCATACTAACCTGCTGCCCTGTACTGCTGTCATCTGTTGGAAACCCCTGTGATCAACTGAAGAGGTAAGAAAATCCTTCCAGTGCCACTTATTATGACAGTTTTCTGATCCCTCAGTCTCATTTGCTGAAATCACAACTCAGTATTTCCTGCCTTGAAGAGTGCAGGTTATGTTATTCCCTTTTTAACTGCAACAGCTTTTCATGTAGCTGGAGACGCTCAGCCTGCTGTCCATAGTTTCCTAAATGCGGTTTTCATCTCACAGAAGTGACTGCATTCACCATGTTCTAAAGGAGATGTCTGTGCTTGATTTGATGAATAATTTCATGGTGTATGCCTGACTTTCAGGGTCAGATCCAGTTGGCCAAACATGTTTGTGCAGAATTTCCCTGACTTAGAGTATATGCTATATCCCTGTGCTCTGCACCGACTACTTTTGCAGGAATGACAGCTTTGTTTCACTACTAGTAACATCTGAAGGACCAGCACAGTCATGCAAATTCTCACAGAAACTTTCTTGTCTTTGCAGATGGACCTTAACACTTGGGGGCACATGGCAAATGGGACAAGTGTGGAAGAATTCATCCTTCTTGGCTTCCCAGGCACATGGCATTCGCGGGTCTCCCTTGTGGTGGTATTTGCACTGACGTACTCCCTGACAGTAACAGGCAATGCATCCGTCATAGCCCTTGTGTGGATGAACAGCAACCTCCATACCCCCATGTACTTTTTCCTCTGTAATCTCTCCTTTCTGGAGATTTGGTACACTACGGGCGTTGTTCCCAAAGCCATAGGAGTCATGCTGGGGACTAGCCAGACCATCTCCTTCAGTGTCTGCATCCTCCAGTTGTTCTTTCTTCTCTCCCTAGGCTCCACTGAGTGTTTTCTCCTGTCTATCATGGCTTATGATCACTACTTAGCCATATGCTACCCCTTGAGATACAGCTCCCTCATGGACACTGTCCTCTCTGCTCGGCTGGTGCTCAGCTCCTGGCTGGGAGGTTTTCTGGCCATCTCACCACTGGCCTTTCTGACATCCAGGCTGACGTTTTGTGGGCCAGATGCCATCAATCATTTCCTCTGTGATATAGATTCTTGCCTTGCCCTCTCCTGCAGTGACACTTGGCCTTTGGAGCTGGCAACATTCCTTGTCTCCATAATTGTTGTGGTGGCCTCCTGTGTGGTCACCCTGGTCTCCTACATATACATCATCTCTTCCATTCTGAGGATCCAGACAGCCCATGGCCGGAAAAAGGCCTTTTCCACTTGCTCTGCCCATCTCAGTGTTGTCACGGTCTGGTATGGCTCCACCATGTTCCTGTATGTCAAGCCATCAGCCCAGAACTCCCTGCAGCTGAACAAACTCGTGAATACCTTTAACATAGTTGTAACTCCTTTGTTGAACCCCTTCATTTACACACTCAGAAACAAAGAAGTGAAGAAAGCTCCTGGGCGGGCTTTCCAGAATAAGTAAAGTGGCTTTACAAAGAGCCTCAGTGGGAGCAAACAGATTCATCCCCTCCTTCCCACAACTTCTACCCTGCAGGAGTTCCTCATTGAAGTGTAATGGCACCTGGGCATCACAGGCAGTGAGAATCAACAGCTCCCCAGTGAGCTCATTTCAGTCATCTTATAGCGATATTAGGCTGGGCTAAACCTCAATTCTAATGCTCCCACTGCCCTCTGTTCACTCCTGGCTAAATTCAGGGTGCCTCACAATGCTCTAAAGACCAGCACATGGAAAGGGTTATAAGCCCCATCCAGAAATGATTCTCAAACAGAGCTGGAGGAGTGGTCCTCCCACAGGTTTGTATTCCAGTTTGCTAAGTGCTCCGTTTTGTCAGGGATTCATCTGAATCCCCTAAAGAAGTCCTAGCAGCTGGCTTATTGCTTTAGGAAATAGACATGTATTTCTCCCTTTAGTCTGATGTTTTCTGGATGTATCTATGCCCCATTCTTGTGGCTGCTTCATTGAATCACACTCTGGTCCAATATAAAATTGAGCAATGTCTGATATGTCTACCTATAGCCATTATTCCTAGCATAAGACTGTGAACAAAATTTACATTCCCTTTCTTTCTTCTCTTCAAGCATCTGAATGTACTTTTTTGTTTTTTATGAAAAATATGCAAATTGCTGTGCTTCATGCTAGGTGTGTCAGGGCATTTCCATATCTAAAACCCCACATCAGTTTTTAACAGTACACTGTTCCACCCATTTTGAGCTTTGTTGTGACAACGCTTTAAAGTGATTGGCAAAGTCCCCAAACTGCAGAGTTGTGAAAGGCTGGCTGGGTAGGAAGTCCCCCTTTACACTCACTGGGAGCACATTAGCACTTCCAAAGGGCACTTGCGTTTCTCCTTCCTACAATTTTCATTTCAGAATAGATGAATCACATTCTCAAAACTCTACATTCTGCACACTGACAGTGAAGAGAGTTCACGTGACCACTTCAGAAGGAGGAGGCATCAACATGGTACATACTCTTTTATGAACAATGTGGGATTGAATTCACCTCAGTGTAGAGCTCTCCAAGTGAGATGACTGAGTCCTGAATGAACATCATCTACTCCTCCCTTCTAGAAGTAGTGGTGCTTCTGGAGGCGATTCACTAACCTCCTGTGTCCATCTGTCCTTGGGCACTTGGCTCTTAGACCTGCAGCCAGGCCCAGGCAACAGTGCCCAAGGACAGGCTCATACCCACCCTTGTCAGCTGTGCTGTCTTTCTCAGTGGCATCTGGGAAAATGCCTGGGACAGCCCACTGAGGCCAGAGAAAGAGCCTGAGCCTGGATCTGTCCTTGGGTAGCCATCACTGCTTGTCAGTCCTGCTTAGGGATTATGTTGTTTTCGGGGGAGAATTGCGTCTGTGGAGAGTTGAAGCCCTCTGCAGCCCTGGAGGGCAAACAAAAGCAGGACCTGAAATGTCCAAGGGACCCGAGACACAGTGGAGTGCAGGACACTGAGGGCTGCCATCGATTCCCCATCAACACTGTCTAGAGCCCTCTGAGATAAACAGGGGCATGCAAAGGCTCCAACAGGGCTGGCAGAGCAGACCCATGTCACTTGAAGAGGCAGGCCATCCTGGAACAGCAGTTGGGTGGGACAACAACCAAGTACCGTCGGGTTTCTCAGGGGAAGTGGATGGTGCTTCATGAGCAACAGATTCCAGTTGATAGGGTGAGATCCAGCTGGAAAGTCAGCACCCTCCAGCTGAGCAGAGCTGGAGTGCGATTGCCTGAGAATACGTTCACAGAACCATTTCTGTTGCCTATGGGAGGAAACAAGATCACTGAGATGTGATTACCAGCTGTTGGACAGGGAACCAGCACGGACTCAGGGACATAGGGGTTCCTCCCAGCCAAGCACTGGTGATTTCCCTGAGAAGAGGAGAGATGAAAAAGAGTGGGACCACTCTCTGGCAGTGGATGTATGCAGGAAGGGTTTGAAGAGAGAATCTTGTCCAACCTCTGGCTGATGGGTCTTTTTCACTTGCTGATGTGCAGATGCAGGGCAAGGAAGGGCTCTTCCCTTCTTGGGCTACTATGGCCATATGGCAAAATCATAAGAGCAGTTGTGCCTCCTACGACAAGACTGATTCTCCAGCTGTGGCCATCAGTAGAAGCAAAGGGAGAGGGAAAAAGAAGACAAGCTGACAGGTTACTTGGCTTGAGTGCTCACTCCAGTGGACCAGCTCTTTTAAGCAGAGGGCATTTACAAGCCTGACTTGGCTTGTTTATGGTGCAATGTCCAAGTCAGGTTTCTTGGACTCCTTTCTTCACCAAAGACCCTGGATCTGGATGCAGCTGTAAAAGTCATGCTGGCATGTGCTTCACAGCAGCACAGGCTGGGGAGGCAGAAACCCAGACTCACCACAGCCCCCAGGTGCCACTGCTGGGCAGGCTGAGCTCAGAGCTACATGCAAGCAGTGGTGGGGAGGAAACCGCTCCTCAGAGCACCCTCCACGTTTCCGTGCAGTGCTGCAAGCTGTGGGCACCCGTGTGGGCTCAGTGCACAGAAATAGGCAGCGCTGTCCTGGAGCTCCGCATCCCGCACATGCAGAAGCACCTGGGAGTTCTCTGCAGACAGCTTGGAGGAGAACCTCCCTGAATCCACACGAGCTTTGTACTTGTTCACCCACAGCAGCATCTGAGGGGACTGGGTCTGGCGCTGCTGGTACCAGTAGATGTAGGGATCAAGATCGCTGGTGGAGAAATTGCAGTGCAGAGTTGTGCTGTGTCTCACCTGGATGGTCATTTCTGCTGGGAACTGGAGCACAGAGTCCTTTTGGGCATGACCTGTAAAGCCAGAAAGGGCTTTCAGCTTTGCTTGCCTGTGTACCTGTCTGTCTATCACTTCCTCAGCTTGCTCACTGTCCCCACTTTCCATCTCACTTTTCCTACACTCTGAAAGGCTGAGCTGTTTGTCCCTGCACACTTCTTTCTGCAGGATCTTGCTACTCCTCACCCCCCTGATCACCCTGCTTTTCAGCAATACTCACTGGTCTTGCAGTCCACTGATTCTCTCTCCAGATCTGCCTCTGAGCTATGTTAACTGCTGCTCTCTCCTTCAGCAGCAAGAGAAAGGAGCTGTTCCTCTCCCACCTCTGATCATATCTTCTTGCTATCTTCTTGCTAGTGACACACTGCATCCTCTGCCCTTGCTCTGTCCTTGTATGGCATTTCAGCTCTACTTGCATCGAGTTAGCCTTCTCTGTTTGTCCCCCGAGGTTTACCACCATTCCTACATTGTATCCAATGCATCTAGGAGAGAAGCTCCTGTATGTCACATGGCTCCATCCCCTAGTATCTTTCCTCTTTCAGGCTTCTTATGTATTAGCAGCACATTCAAGAACTCTCAGTACCTGCAAATTTAAGGTGAGGCCTTATTCCTCCTCTGGTGCCCATTACTCCTGACATCTCCCAGATTATTTGCCATACCCATCTGCAGCCCCTCTCTCCGTACAGAAACACTCCCAGGTCCCCCAGGCAGTCAGAACTCACATCTCCTTGCTTCCACCAGGAGCTGCACAAATTCTTGCCTCATTCTCCCCAGCCTGAAAGTCACATCTCACCAAAGTCTGCCAGTCCCACCAGGGGTGCCAGGACAACCAGGGCCATGTCATGTGCTTCCTTCATGAGGTGTCCAGGGACCTGCCAGCCTAAGGGACCTGATGCTTGCAACTTCACCTCTTCCTCTGCCTCTGCCAGATCAAAGAGGCCTCCAAACCACAGCACCAAGGGTGGAGCAAAACTCTCTCCATGGTGCTCCAGGCAGGCCTCTTTGGGTCTGTCCCCCAACATCTACCACAAAAATGTGCTCTACAGAGATAACAGACTCATGGTTTGAGTGCTGTCCATCAGAGGACAGACAACCCTCATGAACTTCTCCTGACATCAACCACCTGGCCGGTCACACAGGCCTGCACCCAGCTCTGCAGGAGATGGAGAAGGCACGCCTGCACCCACTCATAATGCACCCTGTGCTGGAACTGTCTGGATGGAGAGAGGACGAGGCACACACTGAAGTACCTGGATGCAGGTGTCGTACACTCTCTCCCTTTGCTTCTGGCCATAGAGAAGGAACCTGAAGAGAAACATCTCTGTAAGGAGCATCTGCTGCAGAAACCAGCCACACACAGGGACAGACACACTCCCGCACTCTGGCAGGGGGAGGACATGGCAACACAGCTCTCCCTTGTACACGCAGTCCCTCTATGTCCCTTCACCTCATCACATTACTCACAATCTTCAGCTGCTTGGGGCTGTGCCATGTGCTAGAGCCACTCTTCTCTGTCTCCTCTGAACAAGTAGTTGTAGGAAGTAAGAAGGTCTCCTCTGAGCCATCACTTCTCCAGGATAGGCAGGCCCACTTCTCTCAGCCTCTCCTTGCATGTCAATTTGACAGCCCCCTCATCAACTTGGTGGTCTTTGTTGGGCTTGCTTCAGTATGTCAATATTCTTCTTGGACTGGGGAGCCCCAACCTGGAAGCAGTACTCCAAATGTGATCTCAAATGGGCCAGAGGGGCAGGGGCACTTTCCTGGATCTGCTAGCAACACTGTGACTAGTTCAGCTCAGGATGTAGTTGACCACCTTTGTTGCAAGGGCATAATGTGGTCTTATGTTCACCTGGATGTCTTCCAAATCCCCATATCCATTTCTGTGTATATACTTCTTAGACAACCAGCCCTCAGCCTGCATGACTGCATAGGCTTGTTCCTCCCCCAGACTCAAAACCTTGCCTTGCTTTTTTTGACCTTCATCACATTCTGGTCAGCCCATTCCTCCATAGTCACAACTCTTTGTGCCTGGTAGTCCAGTCAATTTTCCACCCACCTTATCATCCTCTTAATGAACCCATTCATCTCCAGTTTGGTCATAAAAGTACAGGAGAGGCTGTCAAAGGTGTTACTAAACTCTAGGTACACATATCCTCTGCCCTTCCCTTGTGCAGAGTGCCCATCACCTCATGAGAAAGCAATGAGGTTTGCTCTCAGCTACACTAGAGCTTCAGCTCAGAAATAGCGGCTCCGCAAAAAGCGAAATCTGCCCTGGCTGAGCTCTTCCGGCAGAACTCACTGTCAGTGATCACACCAAGGTCACCAAAGGGAATTGGGAAAGCATTGTCTGCACTCACTCCAACATGGACCCGAGCCCAGGCAGGCAAACATTCAGGCAGGGAGATAGGCTCGGAAACTCTATAGACTGTGCACTGCCCTTATCAGAAAGAGGGTCTCTTCTAGGCACCCCTGTGTGATAGCAGCAGGGTTTGGGGGGTGTGGCCTCAAATCCAACGTCCTTTTTCTCCCAGGGACTGTTGCTGGGCAGTCAGACTGAGATTTCAGTGTGGGAGATGAAGGTCCTAGGAGCTGAACAACAAAGCAGTCATCAGCTCTTTGGCTCTCCCTGTGCAACACACCGTGTCTCTGTCCTTCCACTCAGAGTAAAGTGTTATCAGGCTCTGTGTTCTTTTAATTCAGTATGTGTTTTGTCCAAGATCTCACACCATGCCTGACACAGCACCAGGTTGATGAGCTGTAGATTTGGTGTTGGCTTGGACACGAGGGAGGGTTTTGCCCCACCCCAGAAAGCACCAACACTTCACTGAAAGCAGATCCATTCGGACACGATCTGCACAAGGTGGGCAGGATTCCTGTCCTGATTTTGCTAAAACAGGACCATTTCTTCTTTCAGCAGATTTTTTTTTCCTTCAGTTAAATTTTTTCAGTAAGTACACTCTCTGAAAGCTGACTATAGGTTTCAGGCAGTGCCTGCTTTCAGAGTTGATGGCACTGAATGTCTGCACTTGTTGCTGGGGCAGGAGCTGGATCGTTATGCAGAAAGGCCCACGGGTGGGTGCTTGTTCCCTGCAGGCTCTCTTGGGCTCCGCTGGGCTGTGCGTGGAGGGTGAGGAGGGACACACAAGGACATAGACACGCTCATGCAAACCTGTGTGGAATCACACACAAATTTTTGCACACATGTACATTCACGCACCCAACTGCACACAAGGGCACACAAGACAGGAACACAGAGAAACACAGTCAACTGTGGACTCTGCCAAGGACACCTGAGGACAACCACAGCAGCGCTAGAGCTTTGTGGGGAAGGACAAGGCCCCAGGCAAGAACATGACATTCTTTGTGTACTCACAAACTGCTACTTACAGGGGACCAGCCAAACCGGCCAGAATTTTGTCCTGAGGGCAGTGTTTAGAAGGCTGAGGTCAAAACCTGGCAGCATACTGAACACACCTGGGAAGGCAATAACAAGTGACAATCAGGGCGAGCTGAGGAGGGAAGGAAAGAGAAAGATAGGGTACATCCTCACACACAGGAGTCCTTAGGCACCCAGCTGAGGATTGCTGGAGCTTCTTCCTGAGAATGATACTTCAAACCGCCACAACAGAGTGACCCAGGCTGACCTCACTTGTTTGCTCTGGACCCATCCAGCACTAGAGCTGAGTCTTCTGCCAGCACTGCTACATTCCTGCCCTTCAAATCCTGGGGTCTTTCATCCCAGCACTCAGAAGAAGCCTTCACTGGGGAATGGGCACGGCCCAAACCTGGAAATGAAAAGGCAGCAGTGTTGGAAACAAAAGCACAGCCCATATCATTAGCTGTGATGGTTTGCATTCAAGAGGAGTTTGTCAGATAATTGTTAGTTGTACAAAGGGTGCCTCTGGTCCTGTGGCAATGAAGGGCAGATATAAAAGCCAGCCCAAGTCCCTGCTGTATCATCCACTTCTCTTGCCTCCTTCTCCTTGGGAACCAGATGAGTCTGAATACCCTTCTCCTCCTCTTCCAGTCTCCACTCAATGGACGTCTCAGCTGATGTTGGCTTTGTCATATGTTGGGGCTTGGAGCTTCTTGTCATGACAGAGGGAAGTGGGGAGAAGGTCTGCTTAGAGAGAGGCTGAGATGCAACTGTGGTGGATTTTGGTTCATGCACTAAGAGAGAGCTTCCTTGGGTCAAGTCGCTCTTTGTAGGGCCCTGGCCAGATGAGCCAATGAAGACCATGTAGCTCCTGGCACAGTCTGCAGCTTCCCACTCATTGATGACCTTGGCTCCTTTGTGACAGGATAACCATGCTGCTCCTCACCCATGCTTGTGCTCTGCTTCCTCTCTGCCCTCTTTCCCAGGTACACCTCCAGACCCAAGACATGTCCTGCTATGACCAGTGCCGGCCATGCCAGTCCTGCAGCCGAACCCCTCTGGCCAACAGCTGCAATGAGCCCTGTGTCAGGCAGTGCCAGAACTCCACCATCGTCATCCAGCCCTCTCCTGTGATGGTGACCCTGCCCAGCCCCATCCTCAGCTCCTTCCCACTGAACACCACCATGGGCTCCTCCACATCTGCTGCTGTTGACAACATCCTCAGCTGTGATGGAGTGCCCATCAACTCTGGATGCTGTGACCTCTCTGTCATTTCCATCCACTACTATGGCAGAAGGTGCCACCCCTGCTAAAAGTGCTGGGAAAGTCCCAAGCAGACCCCTTCCAGAACTCAAAACATAGTGCTTGACAGAGGATTGATCTTTTGGATGTTGTTTTCAGGATAGCTGACTGAACTTACCTGTCTCTCCCTTTTCATTTTTTGCTTTGGTTCCCCTGGGCTGCAAAGTCTTCCAAAGACCAGCCTGGTGGGGACCATATGGCTTCTCTCTGTTTGTAGGGCAGGCAGACCAACATCATAAAGGTTGTAGATGTGGTCTACCTGGACT